CAACATTTTCTAAAAGCTGCACCAAAGCTCAAATCTAAAATCTGATATATAACACAAGCATATGATTATGCAAAACACATCTAAAAGAAATCTATCAGTACTATGGAAAAAAAACAGTAATACTTAAGCTACTACTGTTGCACTTAATTCCAACTAAATTAACATTTGACCTCACTTGCCACCATTGCAAATACGGTAGTGAAAAAGCAGACAGTAAATAAGAAATGAAATCCTAAGGCAATTACATTGAAACCTATGAAGACTGTTAAAAATTTCCTGCAACATAAAGTAAGTAGAGCCAATGATTCTTAAGGTTTTTCATTGTTTGTTTGCTTTTGTGGTACTGGTTATTGAATCCAGGACCTCATGTATGCCAAGCAAGGGCTCTACCACTAAGCCACAACCCCAGCCCCAGTTTTTCAAATAATAATTATAAAGTATTGTCATTTGGAAAACCAGGTACAAATTTCTAATTATATACAATAAGAAATATTTAGTATCAATAGTAATAAGAACTTTAAATGAATATACATGTATTTCATGTACATAGATATATATTCTGTCAAGTATTTCTTAAATACCAAAGTAAAGATTTAGAATCTGATAGAAAATATAAGAATATGCTTATGCACAACACATCAAAAATGAAAATATGCAAAATGCACATCTGTAAACATATTTCACTCTTTTATTTAAGATCTAGCTGCTATCAAGCATTTCTGATCGGTTTTGTACCTAAAGAAAACTGAAACAACTCAGTAGAAAGAGCTGAGCATATCTCAGGAGTAATATTTTATCAGCTTCAATGTTTTCTTTCCTTGATAGTACTGAACATACTGCAGAACTACCAAGAACAACTATACCCTGAATAAAACAATCTCCATCAGTCTCTAATCCTATCCTAATTTTATTAATCTTTGCAAATATCATGGACATTGTTAGTGTCACTCTCTTCCTTGGAAGTCTGGAAGATTAGAAATTCTGCCCACCTGAATTTCAAATCCAAATGTTTCATTGTCCTGCTTTTCCACAGTAACAAGCTTTCTGTAAAACAAAAATTTAAAAAGAAAACTATGTGACTATCAAAGTATCACACTTGGCATATATTTATCATTAAAAATAACTGTCACAATTAAAAACAGCCAACAGTTTTATAAATTGAAATATGTATTAGTTGTGTGTGGACTATCAACAATCTGTAGAACTATGTCCTTAAATATCTCAGTGACAGACTTAAAAACAAATGAATCATTTTACCTTTGAGACCAGGAAAATTCACCCAAAGAACTTGATCTGGTCAAAGCAAGCTAAAAAATACAAAAAGCATACAGTTATCTCAAGGTACTGAAAATAGTCTGTAAACTGCTCTAAGTCACAGAGGCCTTTATTCTTTATCACCTTCCTTGGCTCAGATCCTGGGAAGTTGTAACATAAAGGCAGTGATTTCCATTCTCTAGTGATGGCAAAGGAGAGGGGAACTGGGACCTTCAGGCATTCCATTTAAAAGATTAGAAGTTCAGACAGTAAAGACAGTGTAGCAAGAGAGTTCATGAAATTAGGCAAAATGCCAAGGCTTCCAAAGATTACTTCATCTCTAATTTGTGTCTAAAACAGCCTCTGAAAGAGGAACCATAACAATTTATAATCAAAGAAAAATAAGAACCATAAGATGGCATGAAGCCCAAATACATGATAGTTTTGGGAGATGCTGATAAAATGACTATGTTTATTATAATGATTCAATGTGTTACTGCTTTTAGCAGGGTAAAATAATCTGTAAGCAATAAATTCAAATATATAAACATGACTTAGGTGAAACCAGGGACTCAAAACCTCAATTCTGTTTATGATTTGTTTTTGCAATAGTTCTGGAAGAATGTAGTGAGATTTCCAAGAAAGGAACAAATACTTAGAATGGTATAAATACCACCTTCACTCCTCTGAATATTTTGGAAAAAATATACATATAAATATCAGCTTTCAGGATGCATTCTCCCATTGTAAGTTAAGTCAACAAAAGGTAGTACTTTGTTTTTTAAGAGGTTGCAGTGGGGTCTTGGGAGAGTGTCATTATTGTTTGATTGTGCTTTACTTTGTTTGTTCAGGAAATGTTTAGCAAATGTTAATTATCATTTAACCCTTTCTCAAGTTTTGCTCCAAGGGCTCTGCACATAAACTGAATGCCACAAACTAAGACATGGTGTTTAACTGCCAATTTAATACAGTTGTCATATGTAAGTAAAAACATAAAATATGAGGAAATCTAGTCCTAGTCAATACTGGTAAGTAAAAATAAGAAGAGGATAAAAAACATAAGTAAAAGAACACACAGAAGAAATTAACGCATATGAGGCAAGTTATACAGAAACCGACATTACTGTAGATTCAAATCACCAGGTAACAGATACCAGCAGTTTCACAAATTTTCTGGAATGTCCCAGTGTTCAGAATTTAGCCACCAGTCACTAAAGTTAATGAAAAGGAGAGGGTGAACTCATCCTACAGATTTAGGATAAATTAATTATATTTTCCTCTTTTGTCAGTTCTGAACCTCAACTCAATAACATCATCCTGAAGACTGAAGCAAAATGGCTCAGAACCGAAAAAGATTCTCTAGACTCGCTAAAAGGATCTACTTTTGATAGACAGCACTAACTTTGTCCACCTCAATTCACATGTTCTTTTAAAATAACCTGATACGTACTGTTAGCAAGGACGGAGGACCTTTCAGCTATGGTAGCAGGCAGCCTACCACAAGATGCAAATGAGGGCAATAAGCTTGATATTGGTAGGAATTCCCAGTCTCATCTTCCTATTGTGCTCACGTCTTGTTAGTCTCTTTTCATTATCTATACCTGCTTTTCTTCCACCCTTAACTGGATTGTAAAATACTTAGGTCCACCATATTTAATTATGTCATCTATAATCGTGACTATAGGCTTATATTTTTAAAATATTACTTTTGTGGGAAACTGATGGAGGCAGTGAATTCAAGTATGACATATTTGATATACTGTAAGAACTTTTATAAATGCCACAATGTATCCTCTCCCAGCACAATAATAAAAATTTTGTTTAAATATTACTTTTGCTCTCATGCTCCATCATATTATTTACATATTATGTGGAGGTTTATCTGTATATATTTACATGAAGGTGTGTATGATCAACTATTTCCCTTCTTTAGATAATTATCTGTATGCTTTGGGCCCCGTAGGGAATGAATTTGATGTACATTCTGCTCCAGCGCTTAGCACAGGGCCTAGAATCAAGTGGGAATTTAAAAATAGCAGAATAGACACACAGAAATAAGCTACGAGACAAAACAAGCAAGTGAAAGGAAGTGAGAGACCCACATTAAAGTATTCATGTTTAGGAAGAAAGTGCTATGATATTCCCTAACCTGGTCTTTCATTAAATTAAATTTTCATATGAAAATTCAAAGGAAATCACAAAAAAAGTAAGATGAAATTTTAAAAACTCAAACATATAGCAAGATTAAAAATGAAAGAAAACAAAAACAACAGGAAGTACAGAACAGAAAAAGTAAGATATTATCGTCTTAATGTACAACTGCTAAATGAATTAATGGTGGTAAGAATTAATAAATTATTATTAAAACTTCCAGCCTTGGCAATTTTAAACACTTTTTTTCCTAGCCCCAAAGCATTGATGGGAGTCTTTAGATTTCCTCTAACCTGCCTTTTAAATCAAAAAACATTTTGGGGGTAGATTCAAATGTAAAGTTTTTCAGATTCAGAAAACAGACCACAGTCCTCTATATTGAAGGAAATTTCCCCACTTCCCTCCCTCTACCCTTTTTCTCTTGCTAATTGACTAAAGACAACAATATTTGCCTAGCACAAGAAACATAGTAGATATTAAATTCCTGTGGAATGACTCATTTGGGTTATTAGGGGCACACCAAAAAAGTAAGAGTGCATCAAATTATAAATTAGCTTCCACTCCGGATTAGCAAAGAGTCTAAGGCACCTGTTTAAGGCAATTTAAATAAATTGGGCATCACCAAATTCTCTGCCGCATACCACATCTTCACACAACATCTCCTTGTATTTGATCTGGGCCATGAGACTAAGGAAATGAACAAAGAAAGTTTTATGGTTCACCCTAGCTAACCCACCAAACTTTCTGCCTGGCATGAAGTATGCCTAGGTCTATCAAGAGTCCTATACTTTAGAAAAAGGTTTTTCCCTCACCCCTTTCCCTAGGGTGAGCAGCCCTATTTGAAGAGGTGACCAGTGGGGTCAATGCTCCCCAAACTACTCTCCCAGCCAGAGTCTTTTCTGAGTTCTAGTGAAGGAACCAGAAATCATGAATGAGGAACTGGTGTGCAATTCACAGCATATGTTAGCAACAGCTGTCTTTTATTACACATTATCTAATATGAGAAATCTAGGTTTAGCAATTTGGCAGGCTTGCAAACTACACGTTCAGTTCTGACTGCTGAATAGACAAAGCTCCTTAACTCTTCACTAGCCACTAATGTAATGATACCTGGGACTCAATTTAGGATAGCTCTTCTGCTTTTAGTCAGATGACTTGAAAGAACAGGCATTAATATTCAAAATGTAGTATCTCTTGCTAAGCAGTGATTCACAGGTCTCCCTTTAGTGGGAAACCAAGACCAAACCCTGCAGCTGTCAATTGACAGAAGAGGGGAAAATAACAGTTCAGTCAGACAGCAAACCACACTCAGAGCGCAACGTTCAACACTGTAGCCACTTCTGCTGCTGAGTTACAGAGTTACAGACTGTTACTTCCTTGTCTCAGCTCTGTATACTCATTTCCTGAAAGAAAATGAGGGGGTAGGAGAAGGGGAGGATATTGATTCACACGCCCGGGTTTTTTTTTTTGTTTTTATTTGTGTCAAAAATCTCAAAATTATGTGCCCCGTTCTCTTTCCAGACCCATGTTTACCTTGACTCCCAATTGTTCCATGAAGACACCCCAACCCTTTTTAAATCAACAGCATTAGGCTAATCCAAGATACAACAGAATAATGGAAGTGAATTCCATGTCCTAACTTCTAAGTGCCTTTAAGGAACCTAAATGAAAGGTGGCAGCTTCTGGGGCAGGTTCCACTGTAGGCTCATGGACCTCTTCTTCCAAAAAGTGGCTGGATACTGACCAAAGCATGCCCCGATAGGGATTAAAGAATATTTTTCAAATTCCTTTCAGGTAGAACACAGTTTTCTACCTAAAAGCATCATAAGATGATCAAAGTACTCTAGTGAAAGCAAGTTATATTACCTGATGCATGTGCTACCAGAAGTTACACGAACGCTCCTGAGGCTGGAACCCAATCCATGTTACTGAGGTTAGCCCAAATTCCTTAGCTAAACTTCTAGGTGAAATCAGCCTTCCAGAAGTTGCCTATTTAGTAATAATTTCATGATGAAAAGAAAATTAGGCAAAGACAGGGAGTTTGTGGTCCCATTAATGCTCAGTTAAGCTTCTTGCCTGTGTGTCAGGTTCCTGGTTCTGACTACAGCATTTGGTGAAACCTGCATTCCAAAAGCACCCTTCTGGCCTTGTAAGAGTGGATAGCCAGACACATTACCACTCCTTTGGCACCCACATTTACAAACACTGCCCTTATTTTCTTCTGTCTCCTTCCTAGAGTTTTCCATTGCAGGAATTTTTTTTTTTTTTCACTTAAAAGCATGTTCAAACTTAGAAGACTTACTGAGATGTCTGGCACTTCTTACAAACACAGGTATTGCAATAATGTGCACACAGAGAAATCTATTTTTAAACAGTTCTGAGTGTAAACACCCAATTGAATCCAAAGATTAAACTGAAACTAGAGGCTAACCAGTACAGCTTTGCAGAAACCAAAGCCAACAATAACAAGAAATATGAACTATTGACGTCAGCCCTCAAAGTGTTGAAAATAATAGTAGGCAGAGAAACACCTGCTCCTGTGATTGCCTGAGAAGTGTCTTGTTGCCCACAATTCAGTCAGTGCCAAAAGAGAAATTATTCTCTAAAAAAACAGCTATAGGAAGTGAACATCCATTTGGAAAATTCAGAAATGTTGAGATAAACCACATCAACTCTCAATGACGATAATCATATGAAATCAAAAGTGTCATGTTCAAAAGGTTTGGTTTTGTTTTGATTTTGGCTTAAAGCAATTTCGCAACAGTAAGGAAAAAGCTGTTAAGAATAGGAGAAGCTTAGCATATAAAAGAATTTGAGAGCCAGGGGAAGAGAAGAGAAGAACTAGAAAAGATAAGAACATATGCATAAATTAACTGCTAAGAGGAAGCACGTGTGTGTGTGTGTGTGTGTGTGTGTGTGTGTGTGAGTGTGTGTGTGTGTGTGTGTGTGTGTGTACAGGCACATGTAAATATATACCATATGGCTAAATCCCTCTTATTATCTTTCTCCAGTAATCGGTCTCTCCTACTGATTGTCTTTTTTAAATTCATGCTATCTTCACTCAAGCTGAAAATGAAATGTGCCTCTCCCATCTTCAATATCACTGATAATTTGCATCTTTCTGTCTTCTTACCATTGCCTCATTTCCTCTTCAGCCAATTACTCCATAAGTTCCTCCCTCACTACTAGCCTCTACTCATCAATCCACCCCATTTCTAGAATAAGGTTCCTAAAATCTTCTGCTGCTCAAACATGTTCAGTGGCTGTCTAGGCAGGTCAAGGACAATCAGTTCTCTGTATCCACAGACTCTGTGTCTGTTGATTAAACCAACATATTGAATCTGTATTAAACATGTAAAGACTTTTTCCTGTCATTATTCTTTAAACAATACAAGGTAACTTTATTTACACAGCATTTACATTAAATTATGTATTGTAAGTAATCTGGAGATGACTTAGAGTACATTGGAGCATGTATGTAGTATATGTATATACAGATACTATGCCATTTTACACCAAGGACTACTGGTGTCCATGGGGGCTCCTGGTCCTGGAACCCATCCCATGTCGATGCCAAGGGACAACTGTACTGCTTCCTCAGGGAAACTGTTCAAGGGTTCTATAACACAGCCCAATTCCAGGGTCCCCTCTCATTTTCTTCCACACATTAGGTCCTGCTAACACACTGAATATTAATTGTATCCCTGTATAAGCCCTCCACCCAAGGAACCAAGATCTGTGCCTCAGCATAAATTACTCCCTTGCTCTGGAATTCTGAATATCCTTCAAGGTTGCATCCAAAGATGTGTCACTTGGGTAAGAGTGTTTTTGCTGTGTTGCTTTGAACAATTCCTATTCATTCTGCCTCCTGAATGGTAAACCCTCTTCAGGCAGTAAAGTGCCTTTCTAATTTTTGTACCTCCTAAAGGTACCATGTCTCTATGCCTTATAGGTGCTGAGAAACTACTTGTTGCATTGGAATGCCTGACCTGAAAGTAGATAAAATGATTGAAGCCTCAGATATAAAGGACATAAGGGATAGAAAGTTCCCACCCATATTCAAAAATTAGCAACTTTCTTTAGCAGTAAGGATTCTGCCAAAAGAATGAAATCCTGGCCTCATAAATGAACCACATTTAGTTTGAAAGCTTCATGGCAAATAGAAAAATGGATTGAACTATATCTGAAAACTGAATAAAGATGTTAGTATTTCCCATGGTGCTTTATTTTCAGGCAGGTTATAAATTGATTGAAATGTTTATCATTACATTAAACTTTGTATCATAAAAGCACTTTGGATGGGGAAGATCGATAATCCAAATCTTGGCAAATTATGCCCTTATCTTCACTGTAAAAAATACCAGAGAATCAGCTCTATACATCACTGAAAAAAGATCATGGCAGTCCATCCATGTTAAAACTTTCTTCTCCTAGAATTCAAAGAATTCAGAGGAGCATATGATGTGCACACAAGATTTAAGATGAAAAATATTCTAAATATTTTCTAAACAATTGCTATATCTAAATTCAAATATGCACTTGGGACCTTAAAACAAGATACATAAGCAAAATTGTAAGAGGTATATGGTTAATTTCTTATGTATTAGATACTGAAGAACAAAAATCAGAATAATTTCAGTTTGACATGAATTTTTCCAAATGAGCTTTCATTCCTAGAGAAATACTCTGCAATAAAATTTTTTTAAAAAGCCAGGTGTCGTGTGCATGTCTGTAATCCAAGCACTTGGGAGGCTGAGGCAAGAGGATAGTGAGTTAGAAGTCAACATGGCCTATAGAACAAGACCCTGTCTCAAAAAAACCAAAACAACAAAAAAAGCATGATTAATCCTTAACAAATACATACTTCCTGTCAGTCACTGTGTTAGATAGTACACAAATCCTTACTTAAGTGGTAAAAGGGTCCCATAAGGGAGTTTCTATTATCTGCACTTTAGAAAAAAAGGAAACTGAGCCTGAGAGAGGCAAGTGATTCTCTCAAGATCCTACAGCTACTAAGTAGCCAGTTGGTGCTCCACCTAGCAGTCACTTACCTCAAAATTTTAAAAATGTCTTACTTCCCAAGAGCATGAGGTATGTGCCAGTGCCCCAGAGCTCAAGAGAATCCAGTCAACAAAATTTGTCCTCAACAAGAATTCTGTTTTGATTATGAACTGAAATGATTATGAAGGACTGGGAGTAAGGATGGGAGGGAGCCAATCAAAGGAGACATAAAGGGAAAACCATCAATATTACTCTCAGTCACCAATTTAAAACCCTCTAAAATAACATTTTTAGTAGGAAGTCAGACAAACCTGTTACTCTGCTCTTAAGAGAACAAGACTATTCAAAAAGGTAAAAATCTCCATCATACCTGCTTCCGTCCCCGAGGCAAAGTAGCGACAGTGTCTGCCAGTATCTGGAGCCGTCTATTATCTTCCATCGTCAATGTGCCTGTGAGTGTGGAGTAAGAGCCATATGCCGCACCAGCACAGAAGTCCACCAAATCGCCCCGGCTGCTCTGTTGCATGAACCTTTGTAAAGACATTGTGAATTACGGCTACTCCAACCAGCACATGGTGTAGTGGCCTTGCAGGATGGGAGAAGCTAAATGCACAGCCCTCCTACAAAGAATCAGAAGTAGCAAAGCAGAAAGAGCCCATGTGACTTCTGTGGTTTGATGTACTTGTCACACAAACCCTATCTTGCAGTTCATTCCCATTACCCAAGGCTTTTTTTTCTTTAAGCTCTGGGAGGACCTCAAGCCAATTCTTCACAATTTAAACAAACAACTTTTCACTTTTTTTTCTCCTTCAAACAACCAGAACTCTTACATTTTCATGCTCTATGGCTAGTTGTGTTCAAAACACAGCCTTTGTTTTAAAGAAAGGAAAAGAATAAACATCTTCAAGTGTTTATCATTTGTTTCCCATTCTTATTTAATATCAGAAATGAAATGCAAAAGTCAGGCTATGCCAACATTCAAGTTCTTGCGACTACAAACCAGGATTACCGGTGCTGGTTCAGAATGATCTATCCTAAAGTCCTTGTAATGCACTTTTCCCCAAGTACCCCTAATTTGTTAATGTTCCTCAAAAAGATATTCTGTCACATGGGATGTAACCAGTCAGCATTCTTCTAGTTGCCCTTCTACTACTTTGTCCTTACTTAAATGAGTCACCATCTTTATAAGGTACCAGGGAAGGGAAAGGCAGCACACTCGGGCTCAATGTTGGTCACAGCTGACACTGGATGTTGCTGCTGCATTAGTAAGTGATCCCTGGCAAAAATGGCATAGACAAGAAGGTTAACAGGCAAACCAAGATTGCACAGGATTTTCTGCTTGATTGCTACTAGTGTGCATGGATTCAGGATGCCATCACAGGGTACTCAGAATCAAAGATTTCTTTATTTATTTTTAGCAAGTGTCAGGGGCAGGTAGTTTTGAGAGAACTGGCTTTGGGGAGGAGAAGGGGAGGCAAGTGAAATGGAGAATCAAAACAAAAGTCAAAAAGAGAAGTTTTATATAGCACAAAAGTCAAATGTGCTTTTAAAATACACTTTGAAGGTCAACACTAGAATATAACAGAAAGGCTTTGAGTTAAAATGGAATTTGTGTACTGGAAGTTGGGGTGAATACAGCTCAAACAAAACTTGTCAAATGTAAACAGTAAAATATCTGGAGTGCTTCAAAAAATGGAGCTAACTCAGAAATTTTAAAAACCCTATTCCAGCAAGACTTATTACTACTGGAATTGTATTATGACACGGGAAAATGATGTCTCCAAAAACATATAAAGATCTAACTTAGGGTTTATAAATACATGTGCCTGTAGGGGATAGGTAAGTAACAGAAATGTTACTAAATAAATAAAATAAATAAAATAAAATAAATAAATAAAAAAGGGAGTTCTAGAGACTTTGTCAACTAAATAAGAAATCAAGCATAAAGATGTTCACATAATATATACATATATGCATGCATATACGCATATATGATTGGTTTTAAAATCCTCTCCAGGCGTAGGTCTGTAACTTAAACCAACACTATTAGTGAGGAACATCAGTCTGGTGTCCCTTACAGATTTTTATAAAGTCAGGTAAATATTTTAATATTTCAAAATTTCAAATGGAAATTATACATTTACTTAATGTAAGACCTCAGTGGACAGCTGACATACCAAGTTTTATAGATGAGTACTAAAATTGTATTAACCCAATGTTATATATATATATGTATATATATATAATCTTAAACCATGTAATATAAAAATCAACCACTAAATTAAGAAATTAGAGAAATGCATCTGTTAAAAAATTTATAAAATGTGTTTCACAAGCAGAATCTTTCAAATCATGGGCTCTGTGTGTGCAAAATCAGAATCAAAAACATTCACTCAATGCGTTCACTCAATACATCTCAGGGTAGTCGCACCTATTAACTACACATTTATGAGCTGTTGCCCAATTTTTATTGCTCAGTTCTCTATTCTGATTGTCAAGGCCTGGGTCACATCAGTTATTAAATATTTTAAATAGCATCCTGATCAAAAGTGTCCTTTGTGATAAAACATGAGGAAACACTTACTGTTTAACGGCAAGGTGGCCTCCAAATATCAAACCCTTGACTCACAAAGGCGCTCTACTATTTAGTTTTTCTTTTCTCCAGGGCTTAGAAGCACTATAACAACCTGGGCTCCCTTCCTTCTCAGTCTCCTTTTTATTTTAAAAGGTTGATTCTGAAAAAGAATCAAAGTATCTACCAAGTCAAAGGGTTCCCTTGGGCCTCCCTGTCCATAGAATAAAACATAATAAAAAGAATTCCAAGTTCTCATCTGATTTCAGTTCTCTGAAACATCATGTCATATTTCCCATACCTTTCCTTTGATACCTAACACATTATATTTGTATTATAGTTAATTGTATACAAATCTGTTTGTCCACTAATGCCTCATGTTCCTTAATTTCCTTGAAAGAACAGGTCATCTTTTATCTTTAAATGTGCTCTTTATGACTTACATATGAAATTGTTCAAAAAATGCTTGTAAATAAAAAGGATGGGCTAGAGGTATGGCTTAAGTGGTAAATGCTTGCTTAGCAAGTGTAAGACCCTGGATTCAAACCTGAGTACCACAAAAAAAAGAAAAGATAGAAAAATAAGTAGATATTGAACAAAATGAATTAAACAGTAAGTGTTCTGAGCATCAAGGAAGAAAAAACAAACTAGTAGAAAATATGCACAATGAGCTCATATTCAAAAGTGCTACCATCTTCCCTAAGGGTGCTCTGAGCAAAGAGGAAGGACTGACTTAAAAAACATGTCTTCCAGGCCAGGCATGGTAGCACGTGTCTGTAATCCCAGCAACTTGGGGAGCAGAGATCAGAGGATCATGGTTCAAGGCAAGCTCAACCAAAATATTAGCAAGACCCTGTCTCAAAATACAAGCTGGGCATGGTGGATCACATCTGTAATCTCAGCTTCTCAGGAGGTGAAGGATCACTGTCCAAGGCTAGCCCCAGGCAAAAGCATGGACCCTTATCTGAAAAAAAAATAAACAAAAAAAAAGGAGGGGCTAGATTATGGCTCAAGTGGTAAAGCACTTGCCTAACAAGTGCAAGGCCTCGAGTTCAAAGGCCAGTCCTGCCAAAAAGAAAAAAAAAAAAAAAAACCTTCCAGGTGTTCCTTAAACTAATACTTCATTATTTAGGAGAACTATTCCTCTCATTTGTGGCATTTTGTTCATTTATAAGTAAATACCTTGGAAGGACTTGATCATTATAAAAACGGGATGAGCACTAAGGGTTTGGAACATGGGGAAAATCTGGTAGGGGAAGGTGAGAGGGATGTGCCAAGAGTACAAAACACAAAAGATAGAGGGGTCTTTATAAAAACTTGGCAATCTCCTAACCATCCATGAAAATAATTAAAAGGGGTAACCACAGGGTTCTGGTGCCAACATTCTACTTAGATTCAATTCCTGGCTCTGTTGCTTTAAAGGCTATGGACTGAATTTTATCCCCCCAAATCATATGTTGATGCTCTAACCTCCAATGTGACTGCAACTGGAGACAGGGCCTGTGAGGAGATAATTAAGGTTAAATGTGGTTGTGCAGGTCGGACCCTGATCTGATAGACTATTATCCTTATAAAAGGGACACAGAAGAGTTCTCTCTCTACCACGTGAGAACACAAGGCGGGAGGAAGAGAGAGTCTTCATCAGAAGCTGAATTGTCAGCACCTTGACCTTGGAACTTCCCAGTCTCCAGAACTGTGTGAAAATAAATTCCTGTTGTGTGAAGCTATCCATGTACAGTATGTCTTGTCTATTTATTATGCTATGGTGTTTGTACAACTGCCTAGGTTAACTAATACACTCTCTATGTTCCAGTTTTCACATATCTATAAACAAAAGCTTTTAGAGAGGAATAGATAAAAGAGCCCATGTATATATAGCACATGGTACAAAATAAGCTGTTACTATTGAATCTTGTTTTAAGTATAAAAATTCAAAAGGAAAAGCTTCAGAGGAAATGATCTTAATTCTTCACCAATTGCTGCGTCCATTACCAATGCCATACGTGCAGCATAGGCGGCCCTCATCCACCCTCAAGAAGTCAGGGCAGAGTGCATGTGCAATCTCTTGCAGCAATACCTTAAGATGTGTCTGCAAAGCACCATTGGAGCCAATGTCTGAAATTTCTTCATTACTGTTAGCCCAACTCTTCTATTCATTAGGGTGAATATGCTTAAAAGAATCAGATTTCTTCTGTGATTTTCTGATTTTAAGATAGTTTCTATTTTATTTTGGCTATTTGCCCTTATTTTCACAAGATCTTATTTAGCTTCCTAGAATATCAGCATTTTGTTTTGTTTGTTGGTTCACCTGTTTGTTTTAGTTTGGTTTTTTTTTTCCCCTTTATTTGGACAGGGAGACTTTGCTCCATGCACTAAACTAAGAGATGGGTTAAAGTGATGCAGACAATATTTGAATAATATGTTTTAATTAATATAAGGCAAATTTAATTTTGTAAGATTGTTCTCATATAGGAGGGCTCACTAACTCTGATGACTACATTGTCCTATGTTATCAACTAATTTGAATGTCAGACTGGGTAGACGTCTTCAGAAAAAAAGGGAACTAAAACTCCACAATAAGGACTGGCTCTGAAAATAACCAGCTCAAAAAAGGGAAATAACAGAATCAGAACTCATGAAGGTTCTGAACTAGAGAGCCTAGTGTGGATGTAAAATATAAAAGTAAACTAGAGTTAAGACATACATATTTAAAACCCCAAAAAGAAAAAACTTTAAACTAACATAATCATTAATAATGTTTTAAAATAAGTACAAGAAAATAATTTTCTGACCTACTCAATTTTAATTCAATCAAATCATGAAGTTGTGGGTAAATTATAATATCATCCAAGAGATTAAGCTACTAAATTCATATGGGGCCTTGACTGGCTTATCTAGATCAGTTTTTCATGAAACAACTCAGTGAAACAATTTCAAGTCTTTCAAGTGTAAAAATAGATGTCTTTCCACATTCATTTAGTGTGCTTATCACTTAGAAATATCATTAACTGCA